TGCCATCAGCTAGTGGCCTCCTTGCAATGGCCCCAGGTAATAAATAATACTTGCTCTCAACCTCAGCGTCTTATGTAGACACCAAAAGGAAGCTGAAGAGTTGATGCTCTCTCATTCTACCAGCCCAGGGCTCTTGTCTTAAAAAAAAAAAAAAAACAGGGGCCAGAGTTGTGGCACAGTGGGTTAAGCCGCTGCCTGACACACCAGCATCCCACACAACCACGGGTTTGAAACCTGGCTGCTCCATTTCCAATCCAGCTCCCAAGCTCATGTGCCTGGGAAAGCAGCAGGTGTGACTAGGCCCCTACAACCCATGTGGGAGATACAGATGGGAGTTCCAGGTTCCAGGCCTCGGACTGGCCTAGCCTAAGCCTGGTCTAACTCTGGCCATTTAGGGAGTGAACCAGCAGATCGAAGACCTCTGTGTGTGTGTGTGTGTGTGTCTCTAACTCTGCTTTTCAAATAAATAAATTTTAAAAACACTACCACCACAATTTTACTTGATTTGGTCAACTCTACACATGAATAAAAGTTTCCTTTTCTCATACACCAGATTGCAGTCTATTTACAAGAAAGTTCAACCTCAAAAACCTAATCTTCAAGTTAAATATATTAAGTAAATCCACTCTGTGGAATACTATACAATTTTTTTATTAGCAAATATTTTATGATATGTTTTATATTAAGGGAGAAAATAAGCACACACATATACATAGACGTAGACATATGCTATTACTATTCACATCAAGCAACACTGGAAAAATAAAGTATGGTAAAAGAGGTGGGAGTGAGACTTTATCTACCTTCTAAAAGAATTTTGTTCCTATCCATGTAGGTTACCTATTCCAATAACAATAAATTAAGCTAGTTAATATGCAAAAGAGAATGAGTGGAGTCCCTAATTGACCTAGAAGAAGGAACACACATTGTAAAAAGAAAAAGGAAAAAAGAACACACAAACCAACACAACACAGGAATACATATGGCATGATCCCATTCTTTTTTTAAAACAAAACAAATAACACTGCATGTGTATAGATTTGTGTGAGCAGAGAAAAAGGTGTGGAAGGAGCTATTAACACTGATTACCTTAAGGAGATGGCACTGGAGACTGCAGATGAGGATTAGCCTTCTCTTTACACATCTCTGAATTATTTAACTTGTAACACAAACACACTCATTTGTAATTTTTTAAACTGATAAGTCAAAACAAAAACCCACAAATGCACCATAACACTGCACTGTGGGTCCTGGCTGCTGCCACTGTGTGCGAGCCTTCACCCAGCAGTAGCCAGCTCCACCTAAGAGCAAACATGGAGCCGACTGGAGGCTCCAGGGTCCAAGGCTGATCTTGGGCTCTGTAATCAAGGTCTTTGCTCTTTTTTTTTGTTTGTTTGTTTTGCATATTGAAAAAGTAACACATGCACATGGCAGGAAATTCAATCAGCATAAACAGTGTAAAAAGTCTCCTCTAAGTTTCTTGAAGATGCTTCCAGAAATGTAGCCATTTTATCTTTGGGGACTCAAAAACTTTAATGTGACAGATACAGGAAGGAAGGGCTGCTTTGACTTGGGGAAAAAATAACTGGTCCAATTCATAGAAGAAAGTACAAACCAGAAACCAATTTCAAATGAACAAGGACGAGAATACTCATGTTGGCTAGCTAGTGCATTCTCTCCCCTTGAAGAAAGTCCAAAGGGGAAGCCAAATTACTGTCAGAGCACCTAAAGAGACTGAAATGAGAGCAAGAGAAGTCGAAGAGCTCAGTGATGGGCAAAAAACAAAAGCACCCAGCTCCACCTAGGCGGGTCCCCTTCTGTGAGGATTCCAAGCAGCTTCTCCTCACTGAGAAAGCAGAGGCTTCAGATGTTAACAACTGAAATTAACTTGCAAATAGGACAGCATTCCTTGAAGTCACCGCCCCACCCCAATCTTCAGGAACACCTAGGGCTGGCCTCCACGGAGGAAGTAGCTCACTGCTCCTTACCTTGGCTAGCCCAGCCCGGTGGGCACCTTGAGATTCAATGTAGGCAATGTATCTGCTGAAGTTCCGGAACTCTTCCATGGTCGGATAAAAGGTCATTATGCGAGCGCTGGGATTCAGGGTTTCCGATTCAGAAGTCATTTTCCCTCCTTTTTAGGTCACTTTGGCCAAACAAGAATCTGAAGAAGTACATTGAGAGCACATTATAAAAATGTAATCAAAAGCAAATGCTGGGGCCATGTCCTGGTACAGCAGGTAAAGCCACCACCTGTGAAGCTGGCATCTCATAGGGGCACCTGTTCATGTCCCAGGGGCTCCACTTTTCACCCAGCTCCCTGCAAATGCGCCTGGGAAAGAAGTGGAAAATGGCCCAAGTGCTTGGGCCCCTACCACCCACGTGGGAGACCCAGGATAAACTTCTGACTCCTGGCTGCTGTCTGGCCCAACCCTAACCACTGCATCCATGTAGGGAGTGAGCCAACAAATGGAAGGTATCTCTCTCTGTCTCTGTAACTCTGCCTTTCAAATAATTAAAAAAAAAAAAAATTGCTGGGACTGTCAGTGCTGAAAATAGTAGATGATAGTGAACTTCTGAAACATTAAGACCTGACACCTGGAATGTGGCTCTAGAAGTCATTTAAATGAACTAGATTAGAAGTGCACACAGTAACAGTTCCCTTCAAAAAGAACCAGATATATCAAACTGCATGTATCCAAATCTCACTTAAACAGAGACACTGTTTCATCTTAAAAAGAGAAACTATAACCATTTGATCTTTCATCCAAAAGATACAGCTGACCACCCCTCCCACCATCACTCTATCCTAATCTTTTCAAGTTACTCCCTTATACACACCTTGCTAATCACTTCTCAGAGTGCTGACATACTACAACCTGATTTTAACAGCCACCCATGGGCTCTTTTCTAGGGCATAGTTTAAAATAGGAGTCTAGATTTCAAAGGTGAGTTACCTGGTTACAAAATTACAATGTCTAAGTGTTTAAAAAGTACTCTGAAAGGAGTAGCTTGACTTGAGATTTTAAAAGTGAAAATTGTCCTCCTACCTAAAACAAGCTGTCTTTTCAGCAGTCCTTAAGTCAAGCGAGAGACAAGTTCAAATGCACTGTACCCAGAACTCAAAGGACAAAATTAACAGGCAATAAACTGGCCATACAGGGCAAACTTCATAACAGAAGGCAAAATGAATGCTTTCGGATGAGGCCTGCAGCTAAGCAAGTGCATTCCCACCCCAGCTAAAAGGCAGTTTAGAAGCAAAAATAGTAATACTCTTGCCTCTATGGACTTCAAGTGGTCAGCAGAACTGCATTTCCTCCCCTCCCCCGCCCCCCGCCCCAGTCTGGGGTCCAGAGTCATCGCAGTCCTGCTCCAAGACTCCCTTGAAGCTGGATAACTCAGGAAAAAACTGCCTCCAACCCACCAGCAATCTAGCACAAAATTGGAAACAGCATGTGCACGAGAGTAGACAAATTGTACTGCCTGCGTCTCCCAGGCTTCCATTCTACCAAAAATAAGCTGTGCTCCCGGCCAGGTGCTTTCCATGAACCTTGCAGAAACTGCGCGGCAGGTATACTGTTATACCGGTTTTACATACCAGGAAATCTGCCCACAGCCCACTTTCCATTACTCTACACTGCCTAACGCCTAACTCCACCTGGACCACATCCTTTCCAAGGCAGATCCAAGTACGGAGGAACCTGAGCTTATACAATGCTGAGGACTTTCTTTAAAAAAAAAAAAAAAGAAGAAGAAGAAGAAAGAAAGAAAGAAAAGAAAAGAAAGAAAGAAAACAGAGTCCAAAAGTAAGCTTCCGCAAACGTTAGAAACACACTCGCATCCACACAGGGCTGGGACCCGACCCTGGGCCCTGAAAGGGGCCCGTTCGGGGCTTCATCCGCCTCTGGCCCTATTCATCTTTGTACGCCCAGACCTAGAACAATGCACGGCACGGAGCATGCATTCGGAGGCTGCTCAGTTACTGCTTTTCTCCCTCACCTCAGCTGCTCACCCTCTTTCTTCAACCCCAGGACTCCATCCCCACGACCTAGGCCGTGGGGAAAGCTCCCGTTCCAGGACACCCTTCCTCCTGCACCCAGCAACAAAGCCGAGTGGTTCGAAAGCACCGGCTCCGGAGTCCCAACTTTGAATACAGATCAGGTCGCTGCCATTTCTCACCTGAGCGACCTTGCTCGCGCGCGCGGATACACGCTCAGTTTCTCCACCTGTACAATGGGGATCCTAACCCCCGGCCCCGCCGTGGTTAACTCAGATGATGCAAGCGAAACACCAAATACTAGGCCCGGTACCTCAACCACTCAATAAAGGCAGCTGCTACTAACCACCACCTCCAGCGCCCGCACCCTCCCCGCGCAGCCGCTCCCGCCGGCGCCGCGCCAAACACAGCCCCCTACTCCCAAGATCCCCGATCCTCACCAAGAACAGGTCCGGCCCCTCCCGGCCCCGCCGCCTAGGCGAGTGAGGCCCGGCCGCAGGAAGAAGAAAATAAGGCCCAGTGGACCCGCCCCCCTCTCCCGACGTTCATTGGCCGCAAGAGATTGGAAAGGACCAATCGCATGACTCATTTTAGAAGCTCCTTCTCCCATTGGATGAGAAACATGCCGATCACTCACCGCTCAAGAACCACCCCACTGCCCCTCCCCCACCGGAGCCCAGGGTCAAGGCCACGGCAGCAACAAACCTAAAGGAATCCAAAATTCTTTGGTTCTCACCTAAAGCCCAAAGCCCCGGCAGGGCCCAGGCCCGTTTTCTGCTGTTGCCCCTAGCCGAACCCACTGCTTTAGCTGTAGGCAAAGCACGAAGCTCCGCCTCCTCGAGAGTCGCCCTCTGCGCAGCCGCACGGGGCCCCACACATCAACCAATGCGAGGCTGGCTATCGACTCTACGCTAGCCAATGAGCACGCTCCGGAGCCGCCTCCGGGTCTGGGAATGTCGGTCTGCTCAGCCTATCAGCGCCGGCTCGGGCTGTTGCCAGGGGGAAACGCCGTACCACTCGGGACCATGGCCACTGAGCGTCCCGGCTGGGTCGGGGAGCTGGCCAATCACGGGCGGGCCTCTGGCCGCCCGTAACTAATCGGGGTTGAAAGTGGCGAGGACCTAGGAATGGGCCGGTCGTGTAGGTGAATGGGGACGGTGAGGATGTTCCAGCGAGAGGCTGGGCCAAAGTTGTCTTGGGGTGAGCAGTCCCTTTGCGTGCGGTTGAAGTGCGATGGAAGCCCGTAGGGGGACAGCCTGCGAGGTCCCGGAGGCCTCATAAGGCCACCAACCGCCCCGGTTTGTCCAAAGTCCTTGGCCGCCGAGCCGGGACAGCCCCTGAAGGGGAAAGAGCCCCCGTGGGTCCCCAGAACAGGTCCAGAGGGGGAAGGGGCGTGCCCTTAGGGTCGCTAACCTCTCTCTCCTCTGTGAGCAGAGCTTTGGGGGTCATTAGGGCAGCTCTTGGGGCAGGGCAGGGTCCTGGAGAACCATTAGAACACTTGGGGAGGGTAGGGGCGGTTTGGGGGTCCTTAGAGAGTTCCTAGACCACCTGGACAAAGAGCGGTGGGGAGGGAGGCCTCACGGGGTGCTCTTGTAGGTCAGACGGGAAAGTGAAGTACTTGGGCGGGCTCCGGCACTGCGGATGGGACGCCGCCTGGGTCTGGGGGTGCCTGCGTTCCATGCTCGCCATCCCAGCTTCCTGCCAATGCGCACAGAAGCTGCAGGCGTCCTGCCACCCACGCGGAAAGCCCAGATTGAGTTCCTGGCTCCTGGCTTCCCCCTGACCCAGCCAGCCTCGTTGGGGGCATCTGGGAAGACCTGCCGATGGGGGATTTCTCTCTCTCCGCTTTTCAAATGAATTTTTAAAAAGAAAGTAAGAGGAGCCGGTGCTGTTGGCGTAATGGGTTAACGCCCTGGCCTGGAGCGTCGGCATCCCACTTGGGCGCTGGTTCGAGACCAGGCTGCTCCACTTCCGATCCAGCTCTCTGCTGTGGCCTGGAAAAGCAGTAGGAAGATGGTCGAAGTCCTTGGGCCCCTGAACCCACGTGGAAGACCCGGAAGAAGCTCTTGGCTCCTGGCTTCGGATCAGCACAGCTCCAGCCGTTGCAGCCAATTGGGGAGTGAACCATCGGATGGATGGAAGACCTCTCTCTCTCTCTCTCTCTGCCTCTCCTCTCTCTGTGTAACTCTGACTTTCAAATAAATAAATAAATCTTTATAAAGAGAGAGAGAGAGAGAGAGAAAAGAAGAAAGAAAACCCTAGGGGAGTGTTTGGTGCAGTGGTTAGATCGCTGTGTGGGACATCCACATTCCTTATTACAGTGTCTGTGATCAAGACCCACCTCCGCTTCTGATCCAGCTCCCTGCTAATGCACCTGAGAGGCCACAGATGATTGCTCAAGTACTTGGGTTCCTGCCACCCACCCAAGGAGCCAAGATGGAGTTCCTGGTTCCTGGCTTTGGACTGGCCCAGCCCCAGCTGTTGCTGGCTTTTGAAGAGTGAACCAGTGGCTGAAAGAGTCTCTCCCCCCCCCCTCCTTCACTCCCCTTCCGTGTGTGTGTGTCCGTGTCCGTGTCCCTCTATCACTCTGCCTTTCGAATAAATAAATACTTTTTAAAAAGAAAGAAAACATGTTGATGTCCTCATGACTGTTTGTCCTTTGCCCCCTTCTTCACACCCTCCTTGGATGTTCTGGTTCCACAGTTCACCAGCAGCGTGACCTAGGGCAAACTATTTGATTTCTCTAACCCTCAGTTTTCTCATCACTGAAATCAGAATCGTACTTTCCTCTCTCGGCTGTGAGAATGGAATGGGATATAAGTGAGGCAGTGGGATGAGGTCAAGCAAAGATCTAATTGATAGGCAGTAAGTGCTTAGCAAATGTTAGCTGTGATGATAATGATGAAGATGATATAAGTGCTAACCACTCAGCCTGAAACAAGAGCTCGATACACTCTCTTAGGTTTCACTCTCCTGTACACTGCTGATGCCCATTCTATGCCCCCAGCTCAGTCTTCTCTCCTGAGCTCAGATCCCTGGGCCCTGCTCTCTGGACCCTTCCTGGATGTCCTACAGATAATCTAAAACCCTCATGCCCAGAACTAATCTTGCCCCTCCACCTGCTAAGTGTTCTAGCTTGGTAGTGGAGCAGCCATCCACCGGATGGCGTACGCCAGAAACCAGTGTCCAATGAGGAATTGCTTGATGCAGGCATTACCTCACCCTGTGCAGAGTGCCACAAAGTGAGGGCTTTACAAATGTGTGGATTCACTCACTGTCTGTCTTCTTCCACCAGATAAAATCTCAAACATATCACTTTGGTCTTAGTGGTAATATGACTTAGGAATGTGTTCCACTGCCAGAGATCAAAAAATGTAACAGTGGCTTAAACAAGTACAAGGTTATTTTTCTCAGGTCATAAGAGGTCTGGAGGTGAGTGAGCACTGTCTCAATGCTCAACAAAGTCAGATCACCGGCTCATTCCATCGCTCTCCGTCATCCTTTGCAATTTTGCTTTAGCCTCATATATGTACTTCACGGTTAAAAGGTGATTGCTGCAGCTCCAGACATCCTGTGCACATGCTTGGGGGATAAGGAGGAAAGAGACAGTGGCAGCAGCACCTGTTCCTTCTATCAGACCAGCAAAATGTCAACCAGAATCTTCCCACCTGTGAGTGAACAGCCCTTTCCTTGCCCTTGCAGTATTTACAGCATAGGGTGGGAGACTACATGAAACAATTTCTCACAAAAGGAAATGGATTTACAAAAGTTGTGCTTGCTATGAAAAAAGAGAGACTTGCCCACAATGGCAGCAGGACTTGGAAATAAAACCCTGCCATGGCATAAAACATGTGCTGTGTTCCTAGCCGAGGGATTTTCCTGGAGCTTCATTTTATCCAGCACTCAGCACAGTAGCTAGCACATAGTAGGGCCTGATGTAACTAATAATAATGGTAATATTCCCTTAAAATTTAACTACATTGACTATGCTGCTATTATGTTCCAAACACTGTACTAATTGTTTTATATACACAAAAATTGCTTATGTTTAGATACATGTTGTCATTAACAACTTTTAAGGGTGTAATTGAAAGATTTTTAAATAAATTTGCCGAGCTGTACAACCACCACCCAATCCATTTTGGAGCATTTCCCTCGCCTCCCTGAAATCTGCCACCTCTGTGAGATTGCTGGAGCCTGGTGGCCGTCTGTCCCTATTCCCAGGCCCGCCCCCAGGCAACTGCTAGTCTACTCTGCGTCTCTCTAGATTTGCCTTCTCCGGATATTTCATATAAATAGAACCAGCAATCTGTGGTCTTTTGTGTCTGGTTTCTTTCACTGAGCATAAGTTTTTGGAGATTTACCCATGCCACAGCACGCCTCAGTATTTCCTTCCCTTCTATTGTTGAATACTATGCCATTGTAGTATTGATGGACATTTGGATTGCTTCCACCTTTCAGCTATTATGAATAACGCTGCTATGAACATTTGCATGCAAGTCTTTGCGTGAATGTATGTTTGCATTTCTCTTGGATAGATAACTAGGAGTGAAATAATTGCTGGGTTGTATAGTACATTTATGTTTATCTTTGAAAGAAACTGCCAAACTGTTTTCTAAAATGGCTGTACCATTTTACATTCTCATCAACAATATAGGAAGATTTCCATTTCCCCACATCCTTGCCAACGTTTTCATATTGTCTGTCTTTGTGATTATAGCCATTCTAGTGGGCGTGAAGCAGTATCTCATTGTGGTCTTAATTTGCATTTCCCTAATGACTAATGATGTTGAGCATCTTTTATGTGCTTATTAGTCATTCATATATCCTCTTTGGTGAAATATCTATTCAAATCTTTTGTCTGTTTTTTAATTAGGTTGTTTATCTTCTTCTTATTGACTTGGAAGGGTTCTTTATATATTCTGGATACAAATCGTTTATCAGATATAGGCTTTATAAATATTTTCTTCATGCTGCTGGCTTGTCTTTTCATTTTCTTTAGAGTACCTTTTGAAGCACAAGAGTTTTTAATTTTGACGAAGTTCAGTTTATCAATTTATTTCATAAATTGTGCTTTCAGCACACTGATGTTAACTCTGACATAGTTATGTCCTGTCTCTACAATATACCCAGAATGCAGCACTTCCCTCCACCCTCACTGCTGCCACCCTGGTCCAAGCCATCTGTAGCCTGAATCAGGCAATTGCACAGCCTGCTTCTGCCCTTGCCCCTGCACACAGAGAGAGTCAGGTCATGTTACTGCTCTTAAACCATCAGATACTTCCCACCTCTGGAGAGAAGCCAAGCCCTCTAATAGCCAACTAACAATCTCCAGGCAGCTCCTCCCCCACCTCACCCCTCCAGCTCCCAGTTGCAGCCGCAGGTCTGAATGCTGAAATGTCACCTCCTCAGTGAAGCTTCCCATGCCCACTCTGATGAGCTTTGTTTGTTTATTTGTTGTTCAGTTCTCTCCATTAGAATACCTTCTGCATGGGGACAAACATCTTTGTTCACTGCCACCCTTGGCCCTTGGCACTGCCCTGCCTCTTTGTATGTGCTCACTAGACATTTGTAGAGTGAACGAACGATGTATTCCTTCATTTCATCCACACAGTGAACTTCTGAAGACAGCGCCATTTCTGCCCGCATTTTGTGCCTGAGGACACGAGGGTGAAGTGAGCAGTAGATCTGCTGAATGCTGAGTGCGAGAGAGGGCACGAGGGACTGACTCCGTGACCAGGAAGGACTATGTTGAAATTCTGATGATGCCTCTGGCCCCTCACCTCTGGACCAGTCACTCTCCCACCCTTGCTTTGGCAACAGCTGCTGACAGTAATCACTCTTCTCTGGGACTCTGGCTGGCTCTGGGCAAAGGGCGCCTGGAAACAGAAGCCCTGAGAGTAAGTGCCAGGAAGGCATCGTCCTACGGCCTGACCTGCCCAGCCCCAGCCCCAGCCCCGGAGGAGGGGGCCTTTGCAGCCACTTCAGTCCACGGAAGGAGGACAGAATTCAGCCTTAATTAAGCCTCATGGACAAAGTCAGTTGGGAAGACAAGGACCTTCTAGCCTATGATACACAAAATACATATACACAAACAAATATAAAAATGCATAGAGACAGACAGGCACACACCCGCAAGGACACTTACGAGCTCTGATCTACTCTCTGCCCTGCAGAGATTGGCTCAGTGTCCTAGGCAAAGGTGCAACACGAGGCACCCCATGGACCATGTCTACTTCATATTCACTCCGTTATCCTTTGCTTCCACCGTCTGTTCTATTTGTTGTTTATCTCAGGCACTAAAATATCTTCCTCTCGAAGTCAAAACTCATCTATTCTTTTTTTTTTTTTTTAGATTTATTTGATTTAATTGAAAGGCAGCATTACAAAAAGAGAGAGAGAGAGAAACAGACAGAGATGGAGAGACATTCCATCTGCTGCAATGACCAAGGCTAGGCCAGGAGCTTCTTCCAGGTCTCCCATGTGGGTGCAGGGACCCAAGCACTTGGGCCATCCTCTACTGCTTTCCCAGGCCATAGCAGAGAGCTAGATTGAAAGTGGATCAGCCAGGATGCAAACCAGCACCCATATGAGATGCTGGCACTGCAGGTGGTGGCTTTACCCGCTATGCCACAGTGCTAGCTCCCTTGGGCTCGCTTTCAAAACCATATCTCAAATTTTTCTCTTACCCCATCACATTTCACCCAGGCCAGTACAACAGCTTCCCAACTTGACAAGTCCCCACTTTGACTCTTCTCCCTCCCACTTGTTTTCCAAATAACTGTCAGAGTGATATTTTTGTTTTTTTTGTGTGTTTTTTTTTTTTTTTTTACAAACCCTTGTGTCGAGGATATTTTTAAAAGGGTAATATTGGGGGCCAGTGCTATGGTGTAGAGGTTAAGCCTCCGCTTGCAGTGTCAGTATCCCATATAGGTGCTGGTTATTGTCCCTGGCTACTCCATTTCTAATCCAACTCCCTGCTGGTGTGTCTGGGAAAACAGCAAAAGATGGCCCAAGTACTTGAGGCCCTGTACCCATGTGGGAGACCCAGAAGAGACTCCTGGCTCCTGGCTTTGGCCTAGCCCATCCCTGGCTGTTGCTGCCGTTTAGAGAGTGAACCAGCAGATAGAAGATCTCTTTCTCCCATTCTCTCTGTATCTCTACCTTTCAAATAAATAAATCTTTTTTTAAAAAAATGGGTAATCTTGGGGCTGGCATTGTGTCATGGCAGCTTAAGTCGCTGCCTGTGATGCCAGCAACCCATATGGGTACCAGTTCATGTCCCAGCTGCTCCATTTCTGATCCAGCTCCCTGATCATGGCTTGGGAAGCAAAAGATGGCCCAAGTGTTTGGTGAGCCCCTGCTACCTGTGTGAGAGACCTGATTGAAGCTCCTGGCTTTAGCTTGGCCCATTTCTGGTCATTACAACTATTGGGGAGTGAACCAGTGGAAGGAAGACTTCTCTCTCTATCTTTTCCTCTCTGTCTATAACTCTGACTTTCAAAATAAATAAATATTTTTTTAAAAAAATGGGGGGTAATCTTATTAACTCTCTGCCTGTTGGAAGCCATTTTAAAGGTTCCAGTGCAATCTGCACAATTCCGAGTCCCTCACCCTCCATGATTTGGCCC